CAAACAAGGTAGTAGAACCCAGGATATATTGAGTTTGTTAATACCAATATGAGGGGCAATATTCTTTGAAAAGTTCATGAGCTGGAAGAGATAAATTGGGAAGATATAGAAGTGCTGTTTTATCAAGATATTGGTAAGTTATATTATTATAAATGGAGCAGTTTCTAATCCGTAATAAACCAATTGTGTAAATCTGGAATTCAGTTAAAATTTGATCACACACAGACACGTGATTAAGCTAAGAGCAATTTGGGCTCCTCTTAGATTAATCACTTATCAGTTAGAACTTGCTGAATAAATTTCAGTTCTTATTCCACATGGACCTAATATTCACCAACAGTAGCCTGAGAGCAAGGCTACTAGCAATCTGACCCCCATGCCCCCAAGAGATACTAGTCCAGAAATGGGGTCCTGCACAAAATTGCTGGTAACATGTATTCTGGCATGGCCATTTCTAATCATCATACCACCCTCTGCTGATTACCATAGAAATCTGGCGCATACCACAAACCACCCAAACTAGTTCACCTGTTTCACCCATACCCTTTCCATTCCATCTTATATACTCCTCCCCTCCCCTCCCCAATTTCAATCAAATAGTATCATACTAAGATCAAGAGAAGATTACTGTCTTCCAACACCACAGCAGATTATAAGCATGAGTTCTCCAACAGCTACAGTCAAAAGAACTCTTTTCTAGAGAATAGGTTTGGAAAGTATACAAAATTGAAACTTCAAACTTTTGTAGATGAATACTAATTTTGGTTAACAGTGTTCCAAATCTGGAAGAACAAGAAATAAGTGATTTTTAAAATATTGGGGATTAAGTATTTTAATGATCTTATGCCTCTATGAATTATTATGGTCCTGCTATGGATTTTCTAGACATATCGCATTGTTTTTTGAATATGATTATACTTTGGCTTTGGGTAAGATAATTAAGGTTGCAGTTTTTATTCAAATTTGAGATCTTTTATAAGGTTCGAATAGATCCCAACTAAACTTAATTCTTGTACATAGAAAGTACTGAAAGCTTATACCATAGAGTTATAGTTGTTAGATATATCCTATGCAACCAAAATAGGCTTTCCCTATTCCACATCAAAGTTCTAATCATATTATCTTCTAGTAACTCAGTCTATTGTTGAATTGATTAATACATGTAATAAGAGTATGTCCTCATAACCTTTCTTTCTTTCTCTTTCTTTCTTTCTTTCTTTCTTTC